TACACACACATACACACACACACATCTATACACACAGACACACACACACATCTATACACACAGACACACATCTATACACACAGACACACATCTATATACACACACACATCTATACACACATATACACACACACATCTATACACACAGACACACACACACATCTATACACACAGACACACATCTATATACACACACACATCTATACACACACACACATCTATACACACATATACACACACATCTATACACACACACACACACATCTATACACACAGACACATCTATACATACACACACATCTATACACAGACACACACACATCTATACACACAGACACACATCTATACACACAGACACACATCTATATACACACACACATCTATACACACATACACACACACATCTATACACACAGACACACATCTATACACACAGACACATCTATACACACAGACACACATCTATATACACACACACATCTATACACACATATACACACACACACATCTATACACACAGACACACATCTATACACACACACACATCTATACACACAGACACACATCTATATACACACACACATCTATACACACAGACACACACACATATCTATACACACACAGACACATCTATACACACACATACACACACACATCTATACACACAGACACATCTATACACACCCATACACACACACACATCTATACACGCACACACATCTATACACGCAGACACACACAGCCTAGGCAGGGGTATTGGGCGGAAGTGGGTCCTGGCGCAGGGCCACATGGTGTGAAGGCCCTGGTCAGCTGATCATTTGGGGAGATGGGGGGTTGAGATTTCAGAAGTGGTTCAGGCTCATGCAAGGGAAACTTGCCAAATAAAATGCAAATAAAATTGAGGGTTTGGTTTTGTTTTAATCTATCACCACCCCCTCCTCACTGTTTTCTGGAATGGAGTTATTTGAAGAAGAGTCGGAGCATTCATTAGTACAACAACACAGGAAAGCTATTCGTGAGAGGAAGTAATCAGACCATCAGAGAGTTCGGAAACCTGCACCTGGGCACGGAAGTGGAGTTGCTTAGGGTCTAGTGAGGCCCCTCCAGGAGACAGCCTGCCCACAAAGGCGGAGGGGCAGGGAGGACTAAGGGTGAGGGGGATTGGGAGGGAGAGCAGAGGCCAGAGCTCGGAAGGCAACTCCATGGGGGAAAGGAGCAGCCATTCCCAAGCATCCTGAGTGTGCGGCTAAGGGAGAACAAGCCTTCTGGGTCTCAGTCCTCATGCTTAACTCGGAGGCTGCCTGGGCTTGGCTGGCCCCTGGAAGGGCAGAGGCGGCTGCAGAGCTGACAAGTCCACAGCCCACCCCCCATCCTCTCCCTCTGCCTGGGGCTGACAATTCCATTCGGTCCTGAGCTCATGGCTTTGAATCTGGACAGGCCTTGGGGCCATCCTCAGTGAAATGTTCCAGACAGCCACCTCCAGGGAGGAGAGGGATGGGGGACCCCGGTCAACCCCATAGGGGTGGTCCCCCCACAGCCCTCATAGGCTAACTGGACCACCTTGTCTCTCAAAGGCTGTGGAGTTTATTGTCCCCAATGTGACTCTCCTCCAGAAAGTGCTGAACAGGCTCTGACAGGCCTGGCTTTGTCCCCGCTTCTAAGACACGGCCAGAAGGTGCCATGTCTTAGAAGCCACAGGTTGGTAGCTGTTCCCAGGGCCCCCGAGGTCTGCCCTTGTGTCACCAGGAGGGACGGTAAGAGGTGGTAGATTCACTGCTGCCCGGAACTGAGAGATGAAGGTCTAACATGGCCAGTTGGTGGCCATGTGACCATTCAAGGAAGCAAGAGATTCAAAACCACGGGGCTTCAGGGACTGGGGCTCTTTGCTAAGTCATTACCGGGGCGACTAACACTGTCCAGCTTTTGGACACTCATGAGAGTGTTAGCAATTACACCGGGACAGGAATTAGCCAGGACTGTCCCAAGCAAGCAAAGACACCAGTGACCGTCACTGTGAACAAGGGCCGGAGAAGCGGACTGCCCAGAGCAGAGCTTCTCAAACGCTCTGTGGGAAAAACTGTTATTTCTCAATCTGCTATGGTTGATCTGCTCAGGAAGCCAGGCTGTCATAACAAATACCACTGGCTGGGCGGCGTAAACACGGGGATTAATTTTCTCACGGTCCTGAAGGCTGGAAGTCTGAGATCAAGCCAGAAAAAGACAAATATCATCTGATATCACTTGATTTCTCCAAGGCTTCTCTCCTTGGTTTGCAGATGGCCGTCTTCTGCCAAATCTTTACATAACCTTTTCTCTGCGCACAGCCCACGTCTGTATCCAAATTCCCTCCTCATAAAAGGACACCAGGCATATGACTTAGGGCCCACCCATATGACCCCATTTTACCTTAATTTGAGGTGGAATCAAATAAGAAGCCCCTTTAGCTGTGCTAACAGTGGGCCAGAAAGCAACACTATGGTGGAAAAAAGAGGTAATCGGACCGTTCGTTTGTGGACTATTAAGGCCTAAGCTGACCTGAGACCCCTTGGTATGCAAATCCAAGTGATGATTTAAGTAAATTGTAACAGGGCCAAGAAGCAGTCTATCCTGGTACATGAAATAAAATTAAATTAGAGCACCAACTTACACCATACACAATAATAAATTCAAAATGGATAAAAGACTTAAATGTAAGTCATGAAACCATAAAAATCCTAGAGGAAAAGATAGGCAGTAAAATCTCAGACATCTCATATAGCAGAATGTGTGCCAATACATAGCCTCGGCCCTAGGACCTAGGGCAGGAGAAACAAAGGGAAATAGACACAAATGGGGCTACCTCAAACTGAAAAGCTCCTGCACATCACAAGAAACCAGCCTCAAAATGAAAGGGAGCCCACTGTATGGGAGAACGTATTTGGCAAGGATACATCTGATAAGTGTTAATTTCCAAAATAGATAAAGAAGTCATACAATTCAACAAAAGGAAGACAAACAATCCAGTTTTAAAAAAATGGGCAAAGAACCTGAATAGACACTTCTCCAAAGAGGACATACAGATGGCCAAGAGACATATGAAAAATGCTCAGTCACTAATCATCAGAGAGATGCAAATTAAAACTACAATGAGGTCACACCTGCCAGAATGGCTACCATCAATGAATCAACAAGCAACAAGAGGTGGTGAGGATGTAGAGAAAGCACACCGGTGGTGGGAATGCAAACTGGTGCAGCCTTTATGGAAAACAGTATGGAGTTTCCTCAAAAAATTAAATATGGAGCTGCCATTTGACCAGTGATCCCACTTTTAAGAAACCTGAAACACCAATGAGAAAGAATATATGCACTCCAATGTTCATAGTGGAGTTATTTACAATAGCTAAGATCTGGAAACAGCCCACATATCCATCAGTAGATGAGTAAATAAAAAAGCTGTGGTAAATTTACACAATGGAATACTATACAAGTGATGATATAAGTAGATTATATCATTGATATAAGTGATGATATAAGTAAATATACAGCTGTAAAAAAGAAGGGTCTCTTACTCTTTGCAACAGCATAGATGGACCTGGAAATTATTATGCTAAGCAAAATAAGTCAGTCAGAAAAAGACAAATATCACATGATATCACTTATATGTGGAATCTAATAACCAAAATAAACTGATGAACAAAATAGGTGCAGAGGCATGGATCCATGGGACAGACTTGATAGATCCCAGAGAGGAGGCAGGTGATGGAAATGGGAAGAGATTATCCAGAGAACTTATATACATACTAGGGGCTCAGTGCACGAATTCTTGCACCTTGAAAGGAACTGTGGGCCGAGAGGCTGCGCTGGGCACAGGGGTGGGTCTTGGCCTCTCCTGCACACACCCCCTTCCCCACTCAGCCAACTCCCATCACGGCCCAGGTCCCCTGTCTGCCAGCAGCCCTGCTCCTGCCACCACCCTGCGCTGATGGCACTGGCCCTGCTCACATCCATTGACAGGCTCAAAGTAATTGGGGCTGGGGCCAGCAGCGGGTACAAGCAGGGCCAGCACCGTCAGTAGGTGTGAGCAGCGGGTGCTGCCCCAAATGCTTCTCATGAGCAGGGGGAAGTGGAGAAGTCCTCAGGGGTGATCGGGGCCAGCAGCTGCTGCTTGCACCCACTGACGGCGCTGAGTGACTGGAACCAGCACTGGGTGCCGGCAGTGGGTGCAAGTGACACCAGCTGCCAGTGCAATCGACAGCTCCAGCTCTGGCAGTGGATGTGAGTGCCAGGAGGGACCACAGAGTGCGGGAGCAAAGAATTTTAAGTAACCACCAGAGGCTTGCCCCAATGACAGTGACCGGCACCCTGCCTTGGTCTGGTGCCCCCACTCACCTGCTGCACCATCCCACCACAGCTGACAATCGACATGTTCCACACACACTCCCTGATGGTCAGTGCACATCATAGCAATCAGTTGTTTTGTTGTTCAGTTCCGATTGTTCTGCCGTTCAGTCTATTTGCATATTAGCCTTTTATTATATAGGATATGCAGAGCCCATGGACACAGACAATAGCGTGGTGAAGGCCTGGGGTGGAAAAGGGGATGGGCGGAGGGGATAAAGAGGGGTGATGGGAGACATCTGTAATACTGTCAACAATTTTTTTAAAAAGAAAGAACACTGAAAACAAACAACAAAAAATAAAAGGAACTCTATCTTACCCTTTTATGGGGTCCCCAGTGAAATGGCCACCACTTCCTGGTATGTGGATTAAACACAGCATCTCTTGGCTGCACACAGTGATACACAGGCTGAGTGGCAAACAGTCCATGACCGGTAAATATCAGTAGCATTTCCTGGAGTCATATAATCACAGAACAGGACATTTAAAAGGTGTTACTCACACACGGGAAACTTAAAGCAACTAAAAGGATTAATGCAAAATCTACCATGGGAAGAAAAACAAACAAACAAGAAGAAATGGGTGTAAAATCCACTGGTGAATGAAACATAAAATAGTTGAAAGTCAAATTTAGAGAGGTTTGACATTATTGGTATTCCTCTGATAAACTGGGATAGTTCCACTGCTTCCGTTAACAGGAGGTAAACCCCAGGTGACCCATGTCAGCACTGTTAGTATTGCTGAAGGAGGACCACACGAGGCCAAAAGTGACACAGGATTATAAATGTATTAGGTCATCCGGAGACCAGATGGGCTGAGCCCCAAAATGGCATCAGCTCCCAGGGATGGGGAGACAGAGGTTTTAAAGGATGCTAGGAGGGCTTTTTCAGTGGGGAACTCTGGGCCGATACGGATCCTGGGAAAGTTCGGAGGGGAAAGATAATGGTCTTCGCCATTGGGATGGGGTCTCAGTGACAGGGAATGCTGGTTGTGAAGTGGTCTAAGGTAAGTTTCCAGGGAAGGGGCGATGGATTCGATTATTGGATCAGATCTAACATTCCAGCCTTTTTGTTTTATGGCTTCCAGCTGAGGGGAGATGTCAGGATCATAGGGGGATGGGCTTTGACTGTAGTCAGCTGGGACTCCGTATAGATGCCTCATGGTTGGAATGAGGGGTTGCCACAGCATGATCTCCCCGAGAGACTGGTTGGTGAAGGCTCGAAAGTGGTCCTGAAGGAAAGATGAAAAATGGCGCAGAACACATGGGCCAACAACGAGGATGAAGAATAGGAGTATTAATGGTCCTTTGAAGGGAAGTGACCAGGTATACCAATTTATATTGTAGATCCATGAATTTGATTGACGTCCTTTCATCTTTCTGTTAATTTTTGGGCAGCATCCCTGACTAGGCCAGACTGATGGACATAAAAACACATTCTTCCTCCAGGAAAAGGCATGGACTCCCTTTCTCTGCAGGTAGGAGGTCCAGTCCTCTTGAATTTTGGAGGTTGACAGCTGCTAATGGGTCAATCTGATCCTGAATTTAAACTAAACTTTTGGCAATGTCATCTAGGCTTTCTTGTAGGTTCTGAGACAGGATTTCAAAATATGATAGAGAGCAGTGGTTAAGCCGACTTTGCCAGTCCTGACACCTGTTGTGATGCTGAGAGTTACTCGGAGAGGGTTATCTGGATTCCTCTTTTGTGTTGCATTGATAAGTTACGGGACAGATAAGCCTACACTGGGTGAGAATAGAGAAGAGTTCAGGTTTCTGTCCAGTCGGGAGGCAGATGTACGTGTTTTCCCCACCTGAGGAGAAAAAATCCCTGATCACGGAGACAAGCTGAAAGGTATGGAGAGAAGAGGGGGACCCATAGGTATGAGGTTCCTTTTCCTGGTTCCGCACTCCAAACCAAGAGGGTAGTCGCCATGGCGCTACCAATAAGAGGTAGCTGATGAGTGGTTGAGAGTCTTGCAGAGAAAGTGGGTGGGAATGCTAGAATGGGCTGTTATCCAAGGGAAAATCGAAAGGGAAGGAAAGGAGCAGTTGAAAGCTGCGGACCTGCGTGGTTAGATAAGAAGTAAAACGGACGAGCTATAGGAGCTAACCATTGGCTTCCAGGGAGACCTGGTAGTCAACCGTTGGGACCAATGGCTGTTCAGCAATTGTAGGTTAATTGTGGTGTTGCAAGTTGATGATGGGAGATGGCCTATTGTTATATTGCCCGTGACGGGGATGGAGAGAGGAGCTACCTTAGTAAGAGGTTAAATATAAGTACGGGAAATAAAGGGAGGCTTGATTTGTTTGGGCTGGAGGATAATTACCTTTTCGAGAAATATAGTTCCCTTTTCCTTTTTATAAGCTAGGTTGATTTTTGCCTGACTCTGTCTCTTTTAAAAAATATATATTTTATTGATTTTTTACAGAGAGGAAGGGAGAGGGTTAGAGAGCTAGAAGCATTGATGAGAAATATCGACCAGCTGCCTCCTGCACACCCCCCACCAGGGATGTGTCCACAACCAAGGTACACACCCTTGACTGGAATCGAACCTGGGACTCTTCAGTCCGTAGGCCGATGCTCTATCCACTGAGCCAAACCGGTTTTGGCCCAATTCTGTCTCTTGACTGGTATAGGGATGGTGGTATACACTGAAGAGGGGAGGGAAAGGCAGAGCCAGTAGTACCTGGCTAAGGTTGATTGGTCGGGCTTAGGAGGAAATGGGTGGGTTAAGTGTCCCTTAGAGGTGAGTGGAGGTGAGAAAGTCCCTTATGGGAGTAGGAGAGGAGGGTTGGAGTAGGATGAGAAAAGAGCCAATCCCCACGTCCAGGGTCGGGACTGTCCCAGGGCGAGAGAAAGGGTATGCTTGGGTCCTAGAAATTCATCCCATGGGTAATGCAGTCCTCTTAGAAGGGAGTCCCATAGAAAGGTGAGAATCCTGCTGTGAAGGGAAAGGGGGAGTAACTAGGACCTAGAGGATTTGTATTGGAAAGAGGTGGGCCGTCAGAGAAGTTGGGGTTTGTAGAGCAATGCATAGGGGTCATATGCAGGGGTGCTCTGCTTCTGGGATGGGGGTGAGGCAGAGTCTGATGGGCCCGACCTGGCAACTGAGATACTTCGGTGTCTCCAGCTCACCGGGTGGTGGCGAGGGTGGCGTTCCAGGGACCAGTTTTAATGTGGAAAGGTGGAACCAGGACGTATGGCCCGACAGGTTAGCTGCCGTTGGGGTTGTTAGGGGCTCCTGATAAGGGCCTTGCCATCGGGCTGTGAATTATTTAACAGATGGACTGCCTTTAGGAGGACCCAGTCCCCCGGCTGTAGAGGAGCATGGGGATGTCTCCATAAAAGGTCAAGGGAGGACTTGGCCAGCATGTTCTCTCAGTAACTGTCAGAGGAGAATTTATTTTTTATTATTTTTTAAATATATTTTATTGATTTTTTACAGAGAGGAAGAGAGAGGGTTAGAGAGTTAGAAACATCGATGAGAGAGAATCATCGACCAGCTGCCTCTTGCACACCCCCTACTGGGGATATGTCCACAACCAAGGTACCTGCCCTTGACCGGAATCGTACCTGGGACCTTTCAGTCCGCAGGCCGACACTCTATCCACTGAGCCAAACCGGTTTCGGCTCAGACGAGATTTTAAATGGGGACATAGTCTCCTCAAGGGATCTCTGTGGAAGGGAAATTTCCTAATAAGAAGGGTCTTCCATACATGAGTTCAAAGGGACTAAGAAAGGAGGGTGCAGGGGTGGGGGATTGCCCTGATGTGCATAAGGGCTAGAGGTAGAGATAGTCCAGGGTTCTTTATGTTTTTGTTGTTGTTGTTTGTTTGTTAGTTTTTGTTGTTGTTGTTGTTGTTTTCCCCATTGGGATTTTTTAGTTTTGAGGTTTAATTTAGTTAGGAGAGACTTAAGGAATTCGCCTTTTCTACCTCGCCTGAAGACTGGGGCTGGCCGGTAGAGGGTGTGTAAGTTCACTGGATGTTCAGAGGAGAGGAGGCCGGCGGAGTTATTGAAGAAAAGAAAGCAGGTCCATTATCTGATTGTAGTGAGGCAGGTAGGCCGAGTCTGGGCATGAAATACTGAAGGAGAGCTTGTGTGACCTTGGAGGACTTTTCAGACATGGGGAGAGCTTCTATCTGAGAAGGTATCTACTAGGGTTAAGAGGTCTTTGGTACTTTTCATAGGGGGCATGTGAGAGAAGACAATTTGCCAGCCTGATCCAGGGACTTGGCCTCTTGCCTGATGAGTGGGCAAAGAAGGAGGTGTAGCCTGTCCTTGGGGAGATACTGAGTAACGAGTAGAACAGGTTTTAGAGATATCTTGCAGGAGGGAGGCGAGGCTAGGATATGTGATGAGGGGTTTTAGGAGTTGTAAAAATGGTTTGAATCCTATATGTAGGGAATTGTCAATAGCCTGTAAGATATCACGGGCCTGCCTCTGGGGAAGGATATGTTTTCCCTGAAAATTTTAACCATGGATATTCCTAAATAGCCCCCAAAGCTAAGAGGGACTGAAGTTCCTCTGGGGTATATCCTATATAATAAAGATGTAATATGCAAATGGTCCTTATGCTATGAAGTGTAATGACCAAATGTGTCATGACCAGATCACGGATCAGCAGGAGGGTGGGGCGGCGAGCTACAAGCCAGCGGCAGAGAGCTACAGGAGGGGGGCGGGGGGGGCAGCAATCAGGGGGAGCTACAGGAGGGGGGGCAGCAATCAGGGGGAGCTACAGGAGGGGGCGGGCAGCAATCAGGGGGAGCTACAGGAGGGGGGGGCAGCAATCAGGGGGAGCTACAGGAGGGGGGGGCAGCAATCAGGGGGAGCTACAAGAGGGGGGGGCAGCAATCAGGGGGAGCTACAGGAGTGGGGGGGCAGCAATCAGGGGGAGCTACAGGAGGGGGGCGCAGCAATCAGGGGGAGCTACAGGAGGGGGGGGGCAGCAATCAGGGGGAGCTACAGGAGGGGGGGGGCAGCAATCAGGGGGAGCTACAGGAGGGGGGGCAGCAGGCAGAGAGCTACAGGAGGGGGGGCAGCAATCAGGGGGAGCTACAGGAGGGGGGGCAGCAGGCAGAGAGCTACTGGAGGGCAGCAGCGAGCTACTGGCGCATGGATTCATGTATAAGTTAGGGTATGAGATGGGGTGTAGCTAAGAGCTGAGGAAACAGAGGCTTCCTCTGAACGCTGCCTTGCCTTCTGGTCTGTTTTGTTAGATCAATTCTGACTCAGTGTCCTTTGAAGTGTATGTTTTTGAAGAAGGCCAGAAAAGGCCAAAACTGGTTTGGCTCAGTGGATAGAGTGTCAGCCTGCGGCCTGAAAGATCCCAGGTTCGATTCTGGTCAAAGACATATACCTTGGTTGCAGGTACATCCCCAGTAGGGGGTGTGCAATTGGCAGCTGATCAATGATTCTCTCTCATCAATGTTTCTAACTCTCTATTCCTCTCTCTTCCTCTCTGTAAAAAATCATATATATATATATATATATATATATATATATATATATAGCCAGAAAAAGAGAGAGAAGTTCCTAAACACCAAGCAGGAAGGTGTTGAGGCTTTCACTGACAGTGCCAAGGACTGTGAGTGAGCAGCGGAAATACAGAAAGTCTAGGCTCCAACCTAAGGACGTAAGCCGCAGGGGAGAGCCTGGGTGGGGCTGCTTCTGCTTCCTAGGAGAGAAGAGGTCTCTTCGATGTCAGGGGTGATCAGGTTCTGTCTCACTGGACAAACTTTTCAACAACTTTCACAAACCTTTCTACCCATTCAGAGATAACCAGCGTTAGCCCTAGCCAGTTTGGCTCAGTGAATAGGGCATCAGCCTGCGAACTGAAGGGTCCTGGGTTCAATTCCAGTCAGGGACACATGCCCTGGTTGCAAGCTCGATCCCCAGTAGGAGGCATGCAGGGGCAGCCAATCAATGAAACTCTTTCATCATTGATGTTTATCTCCTTCCCTCTCTCTTCCTCTCTGAAATCAATAACCATATAAAATAAAATAAAAAGAAATAACTAGCTTTAGTCAAAAAGTAAACAGCCAGCATTTCTTAGATTGACATTTATGAACACACTTTAAATACACACACGCCCTAGCCAATTTGGCTCAGTGGACAGAGTGTCAGCCTGTGGACTAAAGGATCCAAGGTTTAATTCCGGTCAAGGGCTTGATCCCATTGTGGGGTGTGCAAAGGCAGCCGATCAATGATTCTCTCTCATCATTGATGTTTCTATTTCTATCTTCCTTTCCCTTCCCCTCTGAAATGAATAATATATATATATATATATATATATATATATATATATATATATATATATATATAAACAAACATACTCTTGCCTGGCTGGTGTGGCTCAGTGGTTGAGCATTGACCTATGAACCAGGAGGTCATGGTTCAGTTCCCAGCGAGGACATATACTCAGCTTGTGGGCTCATTCATTCTCCAGTGTGGGGCATACAGGAGGCAACAGATCAATGATTCTCTCTCATCATTGATGTTTCTAAATCTCTCTTCCTCTTCCTTCCTCTCTGAAATCAATAAAAATATATTTTTTTAAATATTTATATATTTATGATTTAACCAAGCAACGCTCCAAAGCTTTTAGTTACCAAAGACTTTGGAAAATTGTGTATTGGCCTATGAGGCTGGAGAAAAGGCAGAGGAAGCAGGGAGCCAGCCCTGCAGCAGTTTCCAGGCCTCCAGCTGCTTGGATTTAAGAATACCAAATTTTTCCTTAGAGATAACATGCTAAGTTTTGGGTGATAATGAGTTCTGCTTTTGATACTAGCTGGACTGTCCTTCTCACAATCTGAGACGACTGGCTCCTAACTGCTCACCTGCCTACCTGCCTGTTTGCCCCTAACTGCCCTCCCCTGCCGGCCTGGTTGTCCCCAACTGCCCTCCTCTGCTGGCCAATTTGGTTCTGATTGGTCGGTTTATATGCCAGTGTCAAAAGCCCCATTTCCTAGGCAGCCACTGGCTCCCCCCAGCACCCAGATTTGGTTCTGATTAGTGGGTTTTTATGCCAATTAATGTTAAAAGCTTTGCCTCTTAGGCAGCCATTCATTCTTCACAGCACCCACATTTGGTTCTGATTGGTCAGTTCCTATGCCAGTCAATATCTCTGGGCCTATCTCTGGGCCTGATCAGAGAGGCAGGGCTGAACAGCAGCCCCTGAAGAGGCTTGGGAGAGAAAGAAAAGCCCTGCTGCTGGCGAAGCTCAGAAAGAAAGAGGGAGAGAAAGATACATGTACTGATCAATAGCTGCTATTGAGGCTGCAGATCAGACCCTGCCTCTCTCTCTCTGAGTCTCAGCCCCGTAGGCAGTCAGTGCTGGGACACCAGGCTGCAGCATGCTGGGTCGCCATAGCAACCCAGTGCTGACTGAAGGACTTCCGGGTTGGTCAGCCTTGGTGGTTACAACCCTGGCCTTTTATATATTAGGATTAGGTCATCTGGAGATTTGATGGGCTGAGCCCCAAAATGGCATCAGCACCCAGGGATGGGTAGTCGGAGGTTTTAAAAGACTCTAGGTGGGCTTTTCTGGCAGGGAACTCTCTGGGCAGGTCTGGGTCCCGGGAAATTCAGAGGGAAAAGACAATGTCTTAGCAAGTGGAATGTGGCTTTAGCAGGTGGAATGTGGTCTTAGCAAGTGAAATATGGCCTAACTGAAAGAAAATGTCGGTTGTGAACTGTTCTATAGGTCAGTCTCCAGGTGAGGTGATATAAATCCAATTATTTGACCACTCCTAACAAACACAAGTACCTGAGGTACCATGCACAGCATCTGGGTGAAGTTAGAACCCCTTTGGACAAGGCCACTGGGGCACTCTGCTCTGGGGAACAATGACTGGACCTGGTATATGACCTTCAAGACCTGCCACCCAAGGTCACACATGGAGGACACCAGTACGAGGCTGGCAGTGCGCGAGATGGGCAAGAGCATCACCAGGACACGACAGTGGAGGTGGGGGTTGGCCCCTCAGACGGTGGGGGTTCACTGTTCATCAGCATCACCACTTGGCCTTGACCCACGCAATGGAACCAAATTGGAGGACTGCTGGACTTTCTAATTCTCATAAAATTAGTCTCTTTGGACTAAATAAACCCCTAGGACTCTTGGACAATTCGTGGAGAGAGTGGGGCAGCCCCGAGAGAGAATGGAATTCTGCTCATGAGAGAATGTGGTGCTGGAGTGATTCATCAGAGAAACAAAAGCAGGTATGTCCACATTGCCCACCATGCGGATGACATAGATCATCCTCCTTACCATTGGCGCATGAAGCCTTTATAACATCTGCTATTCTGCCAGGCCCTTTTTTTCTGGACACTGACTGTACCTAGGTGGATAAAATAAAGGTGTAGCCTCTAACGAACTCAAAATATTTCTTGGGTAAGATAGCCTAGTAAGCAATAAAACAGAATATGACAAATACAGGGACAGAGGCTTATCTCCTGGTGTTACAGAAAATCAGAGAAGAACCAAGCAACGCTTAGAGAGATGGAGTTACACTTTATTATTATTACACGCAGGCCGAGAGAAAACTGTTTTTCAAATTCTGGGACCCAACATGCAGAAAAGTTTCCTATTTATATCTTTTTACCTTCTTTGTCTCCTAAATCTGGGGTGTTTCTGGTCCCCTTTGCAAGTTCTTAAAGAGCCCTACATGCTGGGGCTTTGAGATGGCAACCAAAGGCTTGGCCTGGCGCCAGCATTGCTAACTTTGTTTGGGGAAGGTTTAATGGCCTCTCTGGAGTAGTCTTATTTTCCTTATTATTTAAGCAAGCAGGCATTTACAGAAGCCAAAATGGCAGGGTTAAAATGTCAAACAGCCGTTTTTATATACGATGGATACTTCACCCGTTGCGTGTGGTAGGGAAGGGACAATACACAAAGAACAAGTAGAATACGTAGCATGTTGCGTGGTAACCGACGTCCTGGAAAAAGAGAAAGCCAGGAAAGAAGCCCTGTGGGAGGGGACACCGCTCTTGTAAACAGGATGGTGACACAGACCTGGAGGAAGTGAGGGAGGCAGCCGTGCGGTCACGTGGGGGAAGAGGAAGCTTCAGTGCAAAGGCCCTGGGGCAGGAGCATGCCCATTGTGCTCCACGGACAGCTGGAAGCCAGAGTGGCCGGAGCACCTGCTGCGAGGAGAGAAGAGGGAAGGAGGAAGGCCAGAAAGGTGATGTCATTTCCTCTCAGTAAAGTAAGGAGTCATCAGAGGGTTTTGAATAGAAGGATGACATGATATGACTTAGATTTTAAGAGAATGGACTGTGTGCTGAGAATGGACTGGGAGGAGCAACAACAGAAGCAGGGGGACCAGGGAGGAGGCTGCTATAGAAATCCAGGAGGAAGAGGAGCGTGGCTTGGGCCAGCGTGAAAAGAAGTAGCTGTTTCTGCACATAATTTGAAAATAGAACAGAACCAATAGGATTTGCTGATGGTTTGAATTTAGAGAAAGAGGAGAGTCAAGGAGGATTCCACATTTTCGTTGTTGGTGTTTTTTTTAAAAAAAAAAATCAGGCTTATGGAGTAGTTTACATACAGTAAAATTCACCGTTTTGAGTGTGTAGTTCTATCTATACGTTTTGAAAAATGCATTCAGTTATAATATATAACTTCCACCTAAATCATGATAAAGAGCCAGTTCCATCCTATGAAACAAAATCCCACTGTCCCTTTGTGGTCAATCCTTCCCCCATTCCAGCCCCTGGCAGCCACCCAACTGCTCTCTGTCCTTACAGTTGTTTGCCTTTTCCACGATGTCTTATAAATGGAATTATACAGTGTGCAGCCTCTTACGTTTCGCTTCTTCTCCTGCATTCAAATCTAGGAGGAGGAGGAAGGTGGGAAAGGCTAATGTCCCTTTGATCAGGAAAAAACAGCTTGCCAAGAAGCCACCCCTCAGTAATCCGCTTTCCTCTCCCTGGCCCACACTCAGTCCCACAGGCACTGGTGGAGTGAGTATTTGGCTTTTCCAATCTCTAAGGTGGACCAAGCCAAGGATGGGGATCGGAATGGGTGTTGGCCGAGCCAACCAAAGAAGTCTGCCACCTAGGGGAATGTTCTGGGATTAAATGTGCTTCTTCACACTCTTCTGGGTGCAGAGTCCCAGGCGGGGGAGGGAAAGTCTCCTCGATGGCTAGAGATCTGAGGAAGGAGCCTGTGAGGGAGCCATAGCCAGACCTCCCAGCCTGCAGCGAAGTCAGCGTCTGCTGTCATGACCTCTGTCACTGAGGTGTCTCCACCCCTGCCCTGGGGAAGGTAAGAGGAACTCTGTGGAGGGCTGTTCACTGTGGGAGACATCTGCCTGGATGGGCACATTGGCCCTATTCCCCCGGGAGGAGACCTCTCCGGAGGGAACAGCTGAGCAGACCGCAGGGCCTTGTCTGCAGCTTCCAGAGGCAGTGGCACCTGTGGAGCCAAAGCAGTGAGGCCTTCCCACCGAGAGAGCGGCCTGGCTTTGGGGCGTGTTCCCGGGCCCCCCTCCAACCAAGGAGCAAAGGGGCTCCTCTGGGGTGTGGTCCCTGCCGGGCGGGGCAGGCTACATCCCGGCCTCCTGGACCCACCCCCCCCCCATCCTGATTGGGAACGGGGGAGTCACGGGGAGTCCTGTCAGACTTCGGAGCCCCTGCTCCCCGCTCCGCTCCGAGCCCAGCCTGTCTCGGGCTCCCTGAGCTGGGAAGAAGGGAGACCTCAGGTTCAAGGGCATCCTGGAGGCTGATCATCCAATTCAGGGAAAACCCACCTCAGCCGGGCGCACCCTGCCATCGATAGGGCCACTTCTCCACCCGGGCAGGCATTCCCCGGCTTCCCTTTCGCAGAGGCTTTTGTCAGAATGTCACTTTAAGGCGCTCCTCTGTTTGCGGAAGGGGAGGGAGGAGGGTGAGGAGACCAGAGTGACCGGTAGAGAGAGGACTAGGTCACCGAGGGGAGGCACTGGGATTCAGCTCCCACCCACTCACTCCCCAGGCAGGTTCCCAGGTGAGCAGGAGGCCAGCGTCGCATCTGTTTGTTGATTTTAATAAAACCAACCCCCGCAACATTTCGTGTGATCTGGTGATAACCCGAGGGTAATCAAAACAACTGGAGCAAATGTTTAAGAAGAGTACTTCCAATAAAGGGCACCAGGCAACCAACAGACACCTGCTCTCCCCTCTCAAACGCTCACTCCGCGGCCTGGGTCTGGTTGGAGGCACTCCTCTGTGAGCATGGCTGGACCTGGCTGTTTCCTTGATTTGGCTTTAGAACGAATGCCCTTTTCGTGAACTCTCCCAGGGATCCCGGGTGGACTCCGACGGGGGTCCAGATGTGGGGAAGGGGAGGGGAGGAGGAAAAGGGCTGAACCAGGAGGAAGGAGGCCTCGCTGCAGAAGAGCGGACAGTGGGAAAGCATTCTAAGGGGCCCTAAACGGTTTGGCTCAGTGGATAGAGCGTCAGCCTGTGGACTACAGGGTCCTGGGTTCGATTCCTGTCAAGGGCATGTTTCTTTCTCATCAATGTTTCTAACTCTCCCCCTCCCTTCCTCTCTGTAAAAAAAAAAAAAAATCAATAAAGTATTTTAAAAATTAAAATAAAAAAAGCATCCTAAGGGAACAAGAGTGTTAGCTGATCCTCCCCAGGGCAGGAAGCAGGCGACTGCTTGTGGCCTGGGACGTTGCTCTCACCCCACCCCTGTGGGTGCAGGCAGGTGACTCAAGCCCCAGATGAGGCAGGGCCCAAAGCCCTGCTGGCTCATTGTTGTGCTCCTTCCCCCACAGGGAGGATTCTCAGAATCAGCCGTGAGTCACCGGTGAGTCAGCCCCTGGGGGTGAGAGGCCTGGCTGCCTCCGCTCAAACCCTGGAGACAGGCCTCTGGGCGCAGGGGGCCTGGTTTCCCTGTTTTGGAACCCCAGTGGGCAGGGCCCTGCAGCCACCGGACCTGGGGGTCCTTCCCTGTGGCCGAGCTGGGTCTCCCGCCTCCTCTCTGTGGAAGGACCGTGCCAAGGTCAGGGGTCAGGATGCTGAACCCCAGGGGGACCCCAGCTCCCAATGTCTCCATACAAGGAGTGGAAAAAAACAAGATCGGGGGAATAAATAATTTATTGCAATTGGGGGAATAAATAAAATGTGCGGGCGGGATTACTGTAAATAACTGTAAAAATCATGAACATATATACACGAAGGCGCTCCCGGGCCCAGGGGCGGAGCCTGAGCCGGGGGCGGGGCGCGGGCGGGGCCTCCCCGCGGAGACCGGCACCCGGAGAGGTAGACGCTTCTGGACAGCGGAGGGGGGGCGGGGTTCGTGGTCAGGCTGCGGGGCGCCCCCGGAGGACGCCGGACCCCGATGACCGCTCGCCCCCTCCCCAGTCGGCGTGCCCGCGGAGCTGCACCCCCTGCACGATCCTCCGCACCCAGGCGCGGTGCGCCTCCAGGCTGATGTAGACGCCCGGCCGGTTGCGCTCCGCGCAGCCCTCGCCCCAGCTGATGATGCCGGCCAGCAGCCAGGCGCCCTCCACCTGGCACATCAGGGGGCCCCCGGAGTCGCCCTGCGGAGGGGAGGGCAGGTTAGGGACCCACGAATCATTTATCCCAGCACCATTTATCCACCCTGGAAGCCCAGGCACCGAACTCCACCCTGGCAGGGAGGGCCGGGCAGGCCGCGCCTTCTGGGCTCACTTCTGGTGACAGACACCATGGGTGACACCTCAGAGGGTATTGCCCCTCGTTGTTTCTCGGATGGGGAACTGGGGCTCGGAAAGAAGACATGACCTGCCCAAGTTGCAGGGTAGAAATTGCAACCAGGCCTTGCAATGCCCAAGGCCAGGCACACTGAGCACCACCCTGCCATCCTCCACCCATAACAGCTCCCTAAGGTGGGGGGGGGGGGGTGGACACTTGAGGTGCCCAGTGTATGAACAGATGGAGGAGCGACTGCACCCCCTGGAGGCCTGCTCTGCAAGCACCGAGCGGACTGCAGGCCACAGGGGGTCCTGGGAGGGGCCCAGCCCGCAGGGGGGAATCTCCGGGAGGAAGGTGGAGTGCTCACCAGGCAGGCGTCACGCTCCCCCTCCAGGTAGCCCGCGCACAGCATGTCCTCGGTGATGGCTTCCTGCCCGGCCCCCCGCCAGTACAGGCGGCCACAGATCTCCGAGTCGATGATGGGAACCTTCAGCTTCTGCAGGGTCTGAGGGTGGGGCAGGGGCACTGGGGGTGGGGAGAGAGAGTCAGGCCTGGGAAGTCCTCCGGGTGGCCTTCTTCCCTCTAGCAGCGCTTCTCAAAGGCAAATGGGTCAACCCTGTCAGGCTCTCCAAAGAGAGAAAACCCAAATGCCAGGGCTGCACCTCTGGACCTGCTGAATGGGGGTGTGAGCGTGTAGCTTTAAGCTCCAAATTGTCAGACAAGATCTCTGATGCCCACAGATGGCTAGACCCAATGGCCCAGGCTTATCCTGTCTCAGGCACCCCTGTACCCAGCATGGGGACTGCTCCCGGTGACGTGTTCAATAAATGAGCACTCAGTGTTGAATGTCATGAAAACTTGAAGGATTTCCTGACAGCCTGGAGGTGGGCGACTAGTAGACCCCTTCCCCGCCCCCACAGCCCATAGTTCCAGCTCTCACTGGAGCCCCTAAGGATCATGGGGAGGCTGGCTGAAATCTGTCAGTGAGATCAGATATCCGAAATGGCGTCCTTTCTCTTAACTCTTCTGGAATCTGGCTGAAGTCCTATTTTCTGATTTTTCTTTTTTGTCCTTTCTTAGTCTCTTTCTCTCTCTCTCTCTCACCTATCTTTTTCTGCTTCACTGTTTTTTACGTTATCTCATCTGTTTTGAGCTTCTAGATCACATGTGTCAAACACAAGGCCCGCGGGCCAAATCCGTCCCGCCAGGCCTTGCAATGTGGCCCGCACAGCGCTGTCATCACTGCACTCCGCTGCGTTTCCATTACAATGACAGTTTATGACTGTTCAGTAAACCATTCGGCCCGCGATTTAGGCTGGATTTTAGATTTTGGCTCCTTCTCTGATTGAGTTCGACACCCCTATTCTAGATGATGCTTTCCAATCCTCCAAACTTAGTTTGCAATTATGCTTTACAGTTATGGAGACTGCATTTCCTCCTGGGAGCTTTGCCTGCAATTACCGCGTGCTGCCACCACGGGTGCCATTCCCACTTTGGAATCTTGGGCTGTTTTCATCTTTATGGGCATTCAGCCGGGCCCCACCCGTGCCTCCTTCCGGCCATTCCTAGATCACTTGGTATCTGTGTTGATCTGGCTGCTGGTGCCTCAGAACACAGAGGAAGATGCCTTCAGTTAAAAATGACCGAAAACTGTCTGCCTAGGCTTCCGTGGTGCCACATCTTTGGGTTGTAGTCTATCTTTTCTGTCTGTCTGTCTGCCTGTCTGTCATGCTTTGCCACTGGCCTCTAAGCTTTGCTTCCATGGCACCTGTGCCTCTCGGTGCCCACCACCCTGGGTCCGTATCCTCCTCATCTGCCCCCAGCCCCACAGTGGGGGAGAAACGCACCTCCGTCGTGGACACTGCCCCAGCCGGCGATCCAGCAGTCGGTGTGCGGGGGGAGGTGGATGGAGGCGTCGGGCAGGCAGATGGGCAGGACCCGCTCGGAAAACTGGACGGAGCGCTCGAGCCGCACCAGGGCGATGTCGGCGCGGGAGCCCTCCCTCCAGGAGTACACCGGGTGCGGCAGCGCCCAGGCGATGCCCACCTCCTGGGAGCGCGGGCCGGGGTTCCCCAGCTGCCAGGCGCCCAGCAGCACGGAGAACTGGGACGGCTTGTTCAGAGTGCTGGGAGGGAAAGGGGAGGGGAGGGGGTCAGGCAGGGACCGCCGATGGCAGGGAGGGGGTGGGAGGGGTGTCTGGGGAAGAGCATGCACAGGAGACCACCAAAGCACAGGAGCCCTCGGGGAGGAGCAGGGTCCGTCCTGAGGGACCCAGGCTGTGTGCGGAGCGGGCGTGGGGCGGAAGCTGGGGGCGCAGGTGGAGGAGGCCGGCGCTCATACCCCTTGAAGCAGTGGGCGGCGGTGACCACCCAGCGCCGGGTGAGCAGGGAGCCCGCGCAGTGGTGGGTCCCGTTCTTCTGGATGCTCACGATCCAGGGCCACTCGGCGTCGGCGCTGTCCTCGCCGCCCACAATCCGGTTCAGCTGCTGCGGCTGCCCGCAGGCCGGAGGGGCTGGAGGAGCAGGTCCCGTTCTCTGTCTTCCCCCGGGCACGGCCCCCTGCCCCTCCGCCCGCCCGGCTCCAGAGGCCTGTGCTCCTCTGCCTCTCCCTCCCACCTTCTGCCCTGCTCGCACCCCCTCCTGTGCTCCTTCTCCCCCGGACCTCTCCTCCTCTCCCTCTGCCCTCCCTCGGGCTGGCCTTTCCCTCCTCTCAGCTCTCAGCCTTGCCCACAGCTCTATTCCTTTTACCGTCTCGGCCATTTGCCCTTCAGCCCCAGCTGAACTTGGCCCTCTCTCCTCCTCATCCCGGTCTCTGCTCTGCCCTCCGGGCCTCCTTTCCCACCTGCTCTCTAACCCCACCTCCCTGCCTCCTTCTGCCCTGCCCCCACAGACAGACACACAGACACTGCCCTCCATTCAGACTTCCGCCATTCCCCCTCCCCTCAGGCGACTCCTACTCACCAGGTGTCACGGCAGCATGGAGGATGGCTGAGGAAGAGAAGGAAAGGTCAGGCCCGAGTGAGAGGAGGCCCCCCATGCCCAGTGGAGAGGATGGCCCCCCATGCCCAGTGGAGAGGACCTCCCCCCATGCCCAGTGGAGAGAATGGCCCCCCAATGCCCAGTGGAGCAGACCTCCCCCCATGCCCAGTGGAGAGAATGGCCCCCCAATGCCCAGTGGAGAGAATGGCCCCCCAATGCCCAGTGGAGAGAATGGCCCCCCAATGCCCAGTGGAGAGAATGGCCCCCCAATGCCCAGTGGAGAGAATGGCCCCCCATGCCCAGTGGAGAGAATGGCCCCCCATGCCCAGTGGAGAGAATGGCCCCCCAATGCCCAGTGGAGAGGACCTCCCCCCATGCCCAGTGGAGAGAATGGCCCCCCAATGCCCAGTGGAGAGAATGGCCCCCCAATGCCCAGTGGAGAGAATGGCCCCCCAATGCCCAGTGGAGAGGACCTCCCCCCATGCCCAGTGGAGAGAATGGCCCCCCATGCCCAGTGGAGAGGATGGCCCCCCATGCCCAGTGGAGAGGACCTCCCCCCATGCCCAGTGGAGAGAATGGCCCCCCATGCCCAGTGGAGAGGATGGCCCCCCATGCCCAGTGGAGAGGACCTCCCCCCATGCCCAGTGGAGAGAATGGCCCCCCCATGCCCAGTGGAGCAGACCTCCCCCCATGCCCAGTGGAGAGAATGCCCCCCCCATGCCCAGTGACCCCTGCTAGCCTCTCATTCCCAGGCCCCTCCAGGCTTTCCCAGGCCGGGCATTGCCTGGAGCCTGGGCATCATGGACAGAACCCTCGTGCTCTGCTTCTGAGCTGAGCCTTGCCCATCCCACCAGCTTCCTCCAGCTTATGCTCGGGGCTCATCCCACACGCTGGGGGATGAGACGCCAGCCCCTGGGACATCTCTCACGGAGTGTGGGCGCCCATCTGACCCTCTTGGGCTTTCTCCCTCCAACCTAAGCCAGTGACCGGAGACTCCCTTCACCTCCAACCCCGAGCCCAAGGCCTGGGTGCTGCTGGCCCAGAAGAAACAGGAGGGAGGGAGCCCTGACCAGTGTGGCTCAGTGGTTAGAATGTCTGCCCACACACCAAAGGGCCAAGGGTTTGATTCTCTACCAAGGGCAGGTACCTGGCCCAGGCGCATGCAGGAGACAGCCAATCGGTGTGCCTCTCTCACATCAATGTTTCTCTCCCCCCCTCACCTCCCTCCCTCTCTTCCACTCGCTCTAAAACTCAATGGGAAAAATATCCTTCAGTGAGGATCAACAACAACAAAAACATTAAAAATAAAGAAACAGGAGAGAGGGAGATGGCGATAACCATGAATTTGGTCAATAAGAACCACCAGAGATGGAGCCTGTGAAACCTCTTAGTGTCCACCTGCAGGTTTCATTTAGCCCTGGAGCAGTCATGGAGCCGACAAATAACAGGGAGGCGGGGCGGGGGGGGGCCGGGGAGAGAGCAGGGAGGAGGCTGGGCTCCGGCAGGCCCTGGAAGGAAGATGGCCGGGCCTAGGGGAGGAGGAGGTGCTCCTGAAGGGGCAGAGAGGGAGGCAGAGAGGGAGGGCCAGCAGGGCCTCGGGACTCACCGGTGGAGGCCAGGAGCAGCAGGGAGGTGAAAATCCCGGACCGGCCCCCGCCCAGGGCCGGGGGGGTCCTGGACACGAGCATGTCCGAGGGGTGGGGCCGCAGCCTGGCGTGCCTGCCGTGCAGTGCTGGCCACAGGAGTGCTCCGAGTTCCCTGCAGGTCACCCCCGGTTTTATCCTGCGAGGCGGAATGCGGTCCGACCAGTCCCCCCAGTGAGTGGCTCAGTCCCTGCCACCTGGGGCTGTAGGTCACCAGGAGGGGCGTGGCTGCAGGAGGAAGTGAGCCTTAACGGGAACTGGGGGGCTCTGGCTGAGACCCCTGCCTCCGGGCTGGACCCATGGACTCGGGTTCTGGGCCTGGGCTCGGGACACCAGCTCCAGCTGAGGGCCAGGTAGCTGGCCTCAGGAGGACCAGGCTAGGGGAACTGGACCGTGGCCTTGACCCTGACGATGGAATTGGGGGTGCAGAGAAAGGTCCTCATAGCTCGAAAGGAAGGAGCCTGGACATCATGGACAGAACCCTCAGGCTCTCATTGTGAGCTGAGCCTTGCACATCCATCAGCTCTCTCCAGCTGGTCCAGGGGGGGAAAGGCGGGTGCTCAGACCAGGGTCTGGCTCCTCAGAAGCAGGAGACTCGGGTATGAGTCTTAGAGAGGCCCCAGGGTTTTTTTTGGGGGGGTTGGGGGTGGCGAGGGGGCCAGCCAAGGGGATTGCCCAAGGCTCAGTAGGGCTGCTGTCTCCAGGAGCCGGCTGACCTGACTCAGCCATGAAACCTAGCCCAGCCTGGGGCTCCGGGATCCCGTTAATCCACTTATTGGGAAGCCATGAATCAGGCCCCCATGGCTGCCAGTTCTGGGGCGACCTTCCTGTGGGCCCTGTCACTCAGAGGCCCTCGCACTCACCCTCTCACCCTTCACCTGCACTCCCAGGAAGCTCGGTGGGCGGGGCCAGCAGGTGCTGGTGCTCATGACTTAGGAGGCTGCCTGGAAAGGGCTGGAAGACGGGGTCTCCCTCACTCTGCCCCACCCCTGAGCTCCTGGGAGCCTCGCCCCCCTGGGGGTCATAGGGCCATTACTGGAGGAGCCCAGGGCAGGTGTGGGACCCAAGATGCTCCACCCGCTCCTCCTCCTCCTTCGGAGCCTGCCCTGCCCCCCTGAAACCCCCACCCGGAGGCCCCTCCTCTAACTCAGTGCCCACACTCCTGACCCCCCACCCCAAGCAGGAGGAACGGGCTTCTCCCTCCTCTGAACAGACTGCATCTCTGTCCCTTCTCTCCGTTCGTCAGCACACCTCAAGCGGGGCCCTGGCTGCACTATGGAGGGGCACGACCAACCAATGACAGTGACCACTGACAGTTTTCCGTGCACCAGGCCTCACCTCATCTTATCCTCAAATCCCCTTATTACGCTCCCATCCTGCGGATGGGGAAACTGAGGCCATTTAGAACAGTTGGTGAGTTGCCCAAGGGCCCCCGGCTGGCGAGCGGTAGAGCTTGGATTTGAAACCTGAGTCTGAACTAGGCTCAGTGGAGCCTTAGGGACCTCAGCCCCGTGGATGGAGACTGGTCACCAGGGTCATCGTGAGAGGGGGTGGGGCCTCAGGAGCCCAGAGGAGGCGCCCAGGGGCCAGTGAGGGCCGCCCGGAGAAGGAGGACCTTGAAACGGAGGCCTGGGGCTAAGCCGAAGGTGGCCCTGCAGAGGCACGGGGAGGAGGAGGAAGTGCTGGGTGACTCTGGGACAGAGGTGCAGAGGGCCGGTGCTGGGAAGGGGCTGGGGCTGCTGCATCAGATCCTCAGCTCACTCCCCGCTGAATCAGCACGTTCCACCCCGGAGCCTGCCCCTGGGATGCCCCCTCCTCACCTGCTCACTCTCCCGGGTCCGCCTCTGCACCAGATGGCTAGCCACGCCCCTGAGGGTCCCCCAGCCCACTCTCTTCCTGAAACTGAGGTGATGGGCCTCCCCAGCTCACTCCACACACATTGATTGGGCACCTGCTGTATGCCAGGCACCGGGACACAATGGTGATAGGACACGGGTCCTCTCTTCAGGCAGCACACACGGCCCTGGGGACGGGAGGCAGGTGAACGTGTAACGACAGGGAGGCGTTAGGGGGGTGGGCACCGAGACCGTGGGCCTGGGGAGGGCGTGTCAGGAACGGGGAGCAGTGGGCATGGCCTCTGGGGGGCCCCCTGAAGCTGGGTGCTGTGGGGTCAGTGTGAGGACGCTCCCCTGGGTCCTCAGATTCTGGGGGAGCTCCTGGTACACAGCAAGCCTCCACGGACGTTTGCTGAATGAATCACCCAGCGCGGAAGAGGCGAGTCTGGAGGGGGCCACTGGGCACTGGGGCTCCAGCCTCCCGTCTCCTCAGTGTCCCCTTTGTTCCAGATGTTCTCGCCTTTCAGGACATCTGGGCCACTGCCCAGGTGGCCCAGGAGGCAGGCATGTACCTCGGGATGTTTCTGTCCTTGAGATGGGGTGGCCGGGAAAGGGCCAGAGGGAGTCCCGAGCAGCCAGGGAGGACTTCCTCGCACAGGTCCTGGGCGAGGGCCCGGACCGGCTCCGTGGTTCCCGGGAACTGGAGACCCCGGCATTCCACAAAGGGCCCCTGTCTGCGCCCTGGCCGAGCCTCTCTCTACCTGGGCACGAGCGGACGGGCTGCCCGCCCCGCCGCCCACTGCCAAGCCCTCTCGGGCAGTCGGTGAAGCTGCACGAGGCGCGGATGGCAGGCCGGCTGCAGAGGCCTCACTGAGACAGCAGCCCAGAGCGGTGACTCACCGGCGGCGGCGGCATTGCAGACGTGGCACGGGGTCAGGGCAGAGATAGGAACAGGGGTATTCATTCATCACCAGCCAAAACCTTCCGCGCGCCGACTGCGGGCACTGCCCTGTGAGCTGAGACGCAGCCGGGAGCAGACCTCGGTGACCCTCCCTCCCTCAGGGGCGCTGGAGGACACAGAACCAGCACAGTGAATCACTCAGTCTGATAGAGGAAGAGGTTCCGGGAGGGGGGGGAGCCAGAGTGGGGGGTTAACACAGGAGTAGGGGGCGATGGGAGGTGGGGGGAGGGGGAGGGGTTGCAATCTTAAACCAGGACCCCAGCGCAGCGCTCACTTTTGACGGAGACTTGTAGGGGAGGGGGTGAGAGCAGTGCCCCAGGAATGGCTCGGGCGGAACTGGCAGAGGAGAGGCCCGTGGCTGAGGGGCCTGGCTCTGCGGGGGAAGCCGGTCCTCCATGGTGCCGAGCTCGCCCTGAGCTCCAGGTGAGCGGCTTGGCCTCCGGGAGCCCCTGTCCTCTCGGTCCCAGCAGTGCATTCTGGGAGCAGCGCCGCCAGCAGGCGTGGACCCAGCCTCCCCGTGGGCTTTGTCAGACCTGCAGTGTTGTTGGTTTTTCTAAATCGGGCAAATCCCTCTTTAAAAAAAAAAAAAAAAAACACCCTGAATTTTGACGGACGCTGCTGTGAACGTGAGTGTACAAGTTTCCCCTGGATCCTTGCTCACACAGATGCCTGGCCCTGTCCGGGGACCCGCTTGGTGGGAGCGGCATCCCGCACACCAAGGCGGTCCTGGGGCCCCCTAACTCACGGAGACAGAAGGTAGGTGAGAGCCGGGGGGGGGGGGGGGGGGGGGGGGGGGCGGGGGGAAGAGGGGAGGGGGAGAGGGAGTCAGTGCTCAGTGGGGACAGAGCTTCAGTTTGGGAAGATGAAGAGGAAGGTGGTGACGGTGCCACAACATCGTGAATATCCTCAACGCCCCTGCCCTGTGCACTTAAAATGGTTAACATTCTAAGTCTTACACACATCGCTCTAAAACGGAAAATATCTGAATGTCCACGTTTCCATGGACGTTGGAAGCTGTGGCAACGCTGGGCTCCGCTGGCTGAGTCGCCCTGATGGCAGCACAGCCCCACCCACCCACCCCCACTCTGCAGGCGGCTGGCCCGGGTCCCTGGGCATTTCCTGCTCTTGGAGGGCAGGGCCGGGGACAGAGCAGCCTCTCCACCCCCGCACCCCACCCCCGTCTACCCCCTCTCCCCCCCTCAGGTAACTCAAGGCAAGCTCGCAGAGCTCTCCTAAGGAGCCAGGTAAACAGCAGCTCCCTCCTCCACCCTGGGCCTCAGTTTACCCATCTGTGAAGAGGCGCAGCCAGCACTGCAGTCCCTGTTCTGACCACCTGCTCCGGTGGGAAGGGTTGGCGGGCAGCCTGGCAAGGCTTAGTGCTGGCTGAGCCAGGGGCTGGGCTGTGCTCGTCCGCAGACCAGGTTTTCTGGGCACCAATGGTCCTGAGGCTGGTCGGTGCTGTGGACACTGGAGGACACTGCCCACTGGCCAGTATGTCATTGCCTCCCCATGGGGATGTCCCTCCTCCCATCTCACCACACGCCCCGACTGTCCTGGACGTCAGAGGGTGCTCGGGACTCCCTGCCTCTCAGAAACTCAGGTTGAACTTGGCTCCAACCCCATCCCAGGTCCCAGGTCCCAGGTCCCTCTCAGAGCCCTCCCCCAGCTCCTCTGCCCACATTGTCCTCCATCTCGGCCCAGGTTCCTCCTTCTCAGCTTTGTCCCGGCCCCAAAGCGCTGACCCTCCTCCCTCCACAAGAACCCCATCCTCACACGGCTGGCACATCAAATCCTTTCCCCGCCTCTGGCTCTCCCACCCTGGGCTGGAGGTCAGACAAGCCCCACCCCACACCCCGCCTAAAATTCCGGGAAATACGAATTTTTCCATCTTGTAACATCATGGCCTGTCCTCTTGGCATTTCTCTAAAATGGGAGATGGCATCGCCTCCTTGCCCAGCATTCCATTCTCTCATCTTAGGGACCCCTTTTTCCACCCCGTACTTTCTAGAAGGCAGAGCCCCAGCCTTGGGAGCGCGCAGGTTCTCTGAAAGCTGGACTCCTAAGGTCCGGGTGTTAACTGTGTGACACCGGGCATCGTCATTCTGATGGGTGTCTTCCTGGAATACAGAGCGCTGCTCATTCTGTGGTCCACTAAGACCTTCGACTTTTTTTTTTTTTTTTTTTTTTTAGGTGCAATTATGCCTGCTTCTCCATCTCTTCCCAGTCTATCCCTTTCTCTGTGGCAGGTCTCTGTGGCAGCTTCCTCCCGCTGTCCTCTCATGGCTGAGAGTGCTCTCCTAGGTTTTGGTCACAGCCTTTTCCTCCTTCAGAAAAGTGGGCTGTGCGTTGGAATTCTTAGAGCTAATCCATTTCCCCTATCGTTCGCATGGACAGATACCCCCTCAGCCTGGGTTGAAAATGTTTTTAGGGAGAAAGATGGTCAGCCCTCCTACATAAATGTCATTGGACTGTCTACCGTGGCTGTCAGAACTCCCCCCCCCCACACACACACACACTTCTAACTTCCCAGCCTACGCACCGTTTCCTTTGGTTGATGGAAAATCCTTTCTACTGCTGCCACCACCACCTCCACAA